CAAGATCTTGGGATACAAGTGGACTGTAAGCTAAATTTGTGATGCAGCAGCAAAAAAGGCTAATGCGGTCTATCAACAGAGGCACATCATCCAAATTGCAGGATGTCATAGTCCCACTGTACATCACATTGGTCAGGCTGCGCCTGAAATATTGGGTGCAGTTCTGGAGGCCTTACTTCAAAAAGAATGTGGACAAAATGGACCAGGTGCAGAAGAGAGCAACGAAGATGACCAGGGGCTAGAGAGCAAGCCCTATAGGGAAAGGCTGAGGGACTTGTGAATGTTCCACCTACAGAAGAGGAGGTTGAGGGGGACATGATAGCTCTCTTTAAGTATTTGAAAAGGCTATCACTTAGAGGAGGGAAGAGAGCTGTTCCTGTTGGCTGCAGAGGATAGGACTTGCAATAACTGATTTAAATTAAGGGAAGAAAGATACTGACTGGATATTAGGATTTTTTTTACAGTAAAAGTAGTTCAGCAGTGCAGTTGGCTGCATTGGGATGTGATGAGGTCCCCCTCACAGGCAGACTTCAAGCAGTGGCTGGACAAACATTTTTCAGGGATGCTCTAGGCTATTCCTGCATTGAGTAAATGGCCTGTATGGCCTCTTCCAACTCAGTGAATTCTATTATTGTATTCTATGATTCTATGGATCCTTGCCAGATTAGGCAGAAGATAGGGTCCAAACAATGTTTACAACACATTTTACCACAGATCAGGATCCTCTTTACCATGTAGTAGGATGATAATATGACCAAGCTTCCCTCGCTCACAGTGCTGAAATTAGCTCTAAAGAATATAGGTGAAGAGAAGGGACTCTGGAGCACAACAATTTATTCTTCCTTTACAGTATTGTGTGCTGCTGTCTTCTGCAAATTGAGAGGAACTTCAACTTCTCTTCAGAAGATAAAGGGGGCTCCCCATTCCATTTTCTTCACCTGTGACATGAACGATACTATTTGAAGATGATTCCTAAAACAGGTTTGTGGGCAGGCATCATAATGAAGGTTAAATGTGTGAGCCTTAATAAAAATGTATATTCCCCATTCAGTTGCTCAATTTTTTATTTAGCAAATTTATACCCTACCTTTCTGTTCTTAAAAACACCCAAGGTATATTGCTGAATGTACATCACTCTCTTTAGACCCAGACTTTTCCTGTGAAATAGTAATTCTTTTTATGGGCATTTGGATTAAAGTTAAGACACTGCTTTTCCATTTCCATTTCATTTATTAGCTTCATTGACCCGAGGTCTTAAGCCAAACAAGACACTGCTTTTAAGATGCAAATCTCAAAGTGGCCTTCAGAATACTTGCTTGTGGTACTTTAGAATGTTATCTTCTACTTACAGAGAGGAACACTGAGAGAGGAAATGAGATATTCCCCCAAATATGAGTCAGCATGCTAAGCTAAGAACAGAATTACAAGCAGGCCCTGGTCTTAACTTCTAACCACATATCCTTTTAGGAGATAGGGCCAAGCGGTTTATTGGTATGTGAATGCCAAAATGCTTGTTTGAAGAGTTCCAAAATAAACATTGCTGATTAAAAATTCCAACTGAGCAAATCTGCTATTACAAATGAAGAGGAAAGTCTGATTCATAAACATATGAACTTGCTACCCCGTGCCAGAATAAAATAGATGTTCTAGCCTTCAGGGAGTCCCAGCTCATTACGTCACACACAAGGGTGAACACCTCAGCTAAACAAAGACTTCTCTGCTTCACGTTAGATCACAGGCTGCACAGCTGCAATCTTATTCACATTGTTGTAAGCAGTGTTCCCTCTAGGCTGAGTTAGTGTGAGCCAGCTCACAGTTTTGTAGCCTCTGGCTCACACATTTTTGTCTCAGCTCAGGAAGGGTGGCTCCAGAGCAAACTAATTTATGCAGTGGCCAAATTGTTCACTCACAACTTTAACGCCAGTAGCTCACAAAAGTAAAATTTTTGCTCACAAGACTCCACAGCTTAGAGGGAGCATTGGTTAAGTACTGCTGAAATACATGGGCCTTCTGTATAAAGGCTGAAGCATGGAGTATTCAAGTATCTGTTCCAAGGAGTGTCTCTTGAAGGACCACTTCTTCCTGCACGGAACTGGGGAGGGCAACACCTCCAGCAGCTCCTTTCTGCAGACCTACTAGAACACAGCTGCACCTTTATGGTGGAGGCACATGATCCGTGAAACTGTAGAGCTCAGGAAAGGCACCTTCCCTTCTGACCTTCAGGAGATTTCGTAAGGCTGACAGACAGGAAAGCCTTTAAAGGAGATTGTATTACTCTGATCTGGACTGGGTATATGGTATTTACGGTATATGGTATTTTCATGAGTGCTTTTTAAAAATTGTAAGCTACTTTGGGTCTCTTCATAGGAGAAAATAAGGTAAGAGAGCTCAATAAATAAAATAAATATGGAAAGCGGCGGTGGGGGGAGTACAATATATGGAGTTGGAATTTAAGAGCCAAGGTTGTGGTCCCACTCTGGGGCTGCTGGAACTTTTTGTATGGTGTCACTTAACCCATTTTAAATTGGTCAAACCCTCTCATGCAAGAAAATGCAAGGAGTATAATACTGAAATTAGAGCAGATGGTAGATGATGTATTACTAGGCAAAGCTCCTGTCTTAGATTTTGCCTGTACAAGTCTCAGCCAAGCTACTGATGGATGTGGGAAAGGATATGTATTCTTGTGTGTTACTTGCAGCCAAAAAAAGGTTAGCCATCTCTGGTCCAAACACTGCTTCTTCAATTCTATAACATTTATACCTTGCTGAACATTTCTGATCATTCCATCTTTATCTACCTGTATTTCACACACATCTCTGCTGAAGTAGATACATGCCAACATAATGACTGTCATAATACTTTTCCCCCTAATACAGCACAATACTGTTTGCTGGAATTTACTAACAGTGAGCTGTAGGATGTAACAAGTGGAGGGCCTACAAGGAACTGAAGGGGTGAGGTACAATGTAGGGCTAAGATGCCATCTCACCCCTCCTCAATTCAGTAAGATCTCAGGGACTTGTGGAGGCCAGTTTCTCTTCCCCCTCACCCCTTTCCCTTTAAGTATTATTAGCTGCTGTCAGCATTGTCCTTTTTGAAGCATTTTCAGTTCACATCAAGACTTCAGGGTTTTTTTTGCTCCCACACCTTCTTTTGGTCAAACTTTTTTTTTGGTCTTTTTGCAAACCTGGGGATTCCTCCAAGTATGCAGAAACCCTCCTTTTTGCTAGATGACCCCAGTGAGCAATGTTGATAATATATTTATAGCTTGGAAACCACTATCTATAATGGCTCCCCAGCACCAGAACTGATATATAAATGCAACATAGCCATGCTTTTCCCTCCAAACACAAGTGACATTTATGGTGCAAAACATGAGAACCTATCAGGAGACCACGCCCACAGCTGACAAGATCTGCGAGGCTGAGATTTGGGATTATCAGTAGCTGAACTGGAATAGTTAGTAACACAGATAATGGAGATGGGGACTGGTATGATCTGTAGCTGCCCACTTTGATGTAAACTGTCACCCCAAGAGCCCCCCTTTACAAACCCGGACAAGCTTTTAGTCAGAGCACAAAAGATCTATGATCATCATCACATACAAAAGAGATGAAGTAAAATATCCATCCTTGTATTTTAATGGCAAAACCCAACAAAACATTTAAACTGTGAAAGAGAAAAGCAAACGGAAGCATAAGCTTCCAACACAGTTACAAAAAACTACAGTCAATCCAAAGTGTTCTAATACAGAATCTAGGAAACAAAATAAGTAGGTATTGCACAAGGAATAAAATTCACCCTCAGAAACACTCCTTCCTCTTGGAATAAAAATAAGCCAAGGTTTGAATTGCACAGCAACTCTGCTTCAGACACGCACACGTGCACAAACACACATACAGAGGAGACAGGGAAACAGTGTGCTTTTGAACTACCTGTACAAAGTTTCAGAGGAGCATATAAAAGGAGGGATGAGAAGACAACAGCAGGGCTTATGGTGTGTAAATGCTTCCAGGAGACTGGCCTGAACATCCAGCTTTAGGAAAGCAGTTTTCACAATTTTAAGAAGACCAAAGCATGTGCCCTGCCATATCTTGGTGGTAGGACCTTGCTTGACTGTTTACAGCATAAGAATGCCATCACCCACTTGTGGTGCAGTATCCATTATCCAAGAGGAGAACCAGGAAGCATCTTTAGTGGCAGCCATTTGAATGCTGTGCCTGTGAGGCTGTACCATGTCTAGTTGCCTTAAAAGTCTCAGATGTTTAATCATACTTCTGGAGAGGAAAACGGGGAAAGATACAAGTATCACAGAAATACAGTATTTAGATAAGCTTCTGGTTTAGGACTGCCCACCACTCACCCAGGAATAGGGTGCATAACTGTGCTTGTGTGGAGTCTTAGTTGCATGGTGCTGTCGGTGGGGAAGTGGGACAGAGTCAGAAGGAAAAGTAATCTTCCAAAGGGATTCAAAAGGATACATGGGCACAGACACACACCGGCAGCCATCTCAAAGATTCTCAACAGTATTCAGTACAGAAAGAAGGTAAATGTGGTAGTCTTTAAGGAAGGCAAGTTTCCAGACACACACAAGTAAGTCTCTAATGAGGAATGGTAGCTGGATGAACAGTAGGTAGTTCCTTATCCTAATCTGGTGGAATCTTTCAAAATGTGGAAAATAACTGTGGGAAATCTCTGCAAAAAACCGCCCCCCCCCCAACTCTTGCATCTATAACACAGACTGATCTGAATGCATACTTTCCCACCCGGTCAACCTACCAGTGACTTTTATACCTTTTAAAGATGCACCAATGTCAAACAATGATACATTGTACTCCCTTACCATCCAAGGCTGACATTATCCTAGAGGAAGATATTCATCTCCCAGAAGTTTCAGAACACAATTAGAAGTCTTACTGAGGTTCAAATGTTCTTGCCGTCAAACGAGAACTTTAAGAACTTTCAACAGACTTCCTAAGTCTAAACAGAACTCTCGGACCCCTAACCTTCTGACAGGATTGGCTGCTTATAGGACTGCAATCCACCAAGCCACAAGTCTCCATGCTTATTGCTCCCACTCCATGTGGAAACCGTGCCAGGCCAGCTGGCAACTTGCTCACTACATCCTGAGGATGGCAGAAACAAGTATTTTAGCATCTCGAGATGTTCAGGCTGGTTAGATGTAAATGTTCCAGAATATTTTGGTTAAAACTTAGCTAAAAACAGAATTCTGTCTATGCTAGATCACTGCAAGGTATGAGTTCCTCCAACTTTTTTTTCTTTAGTAGAACAAAGCAACAACAATAACAAAATGGACCAAGAGTTAGAACTGACAGACTTGGGTAAGCAAGGAAATTAGGTAGAGAAGGAGGATCTGCTTGGAATAGTGCTTCAGGCCAAATAACAGGGTGTCTGCTTGCTCTGAAGGAATGGAACACTACATTGAAATGATTCAGGATGAATCTGGACCAATGGAAGATTGATTTTCTCACTCACAAGTCTGCATATACACGTGAGCTTGGTCTGGACCCCAGAACAAAATCCCAAGACTACTGTGAACAGGAATTTGTGGGCTATGCAGAATATTTTTTTCTCACTCTTACAGTCAGCACCCTCTAGCTCTTCACCACTGGATAAATGGACACAGTGTACAATTATAGCACTGGTTGACGGATTCAGATCCCTTTATTTTTGTATATTAAAGGAGCAGCCATATGCTGTCCCCAAACAAAAAAAAAGGGGGGGGGTTCCCTTTACCTGTACAGAGAAAATCAGAAGACTGCCCTTAGTCCTTAACTGTGACAACAGCAGATGGTCTATTTCAGGGTGGTATTTGAACACCCCCTCTCAGGTAACTCCCAGCTGTCTGAACACCAGCTTTTATAACATTCAGGCTGCTGTTGTTCCAAATAAGTAAGTAGAAGTAGAAGAGGAGCAGTATGTAAGAGCAGGGAAAAAACAAACTTGAGAGGAACAAAGGCGGACAACCGGCACTTTGCTCACAACGTCTAGTCCAGCAGGCTCAACAGTCACCTTGGAGGGAAGGGATTTATGTGACACGGTGCTGCCTAGAAATACCAGGGGCTTCCCTCCTCTTATCTTTAAGCATCCTTCACAGGATTACATGCAGGATTACGTGTGGAGCCTACCAACAGGAGAAATGAAACAAGGGGAACAGGGGGCGATGTGCTGTGAAAGAAAGGATGCAAGACTGGTCCACAGTTTGCTTCAGGTACTTGCCCACGTGACTGCTGGCCAAGGTGCACTGCAATGTGTAGATAAAAGGCGGGCTGCAGAACACATTTCTGTCTCACGAACTGCACCAGCAATTTCCATTGACAGGCTATACCTAGGCAATGCACGCCGCCAGTGATAGAGCTATTGAGAAAGGCAGCACTCACTGCTGGAAATCTGAAGGGGGTGGCTGGAACGGGCCAGGACAAGACCAGAATGGGCTACAGATGCTGCCCCTTGGGAGACATTGCACACCAGGTGGAGGGGCATCATAAGGAGGGATGCCAGCAGTGGTGGGAAGAATAAGATCTTCTTTCTCGATGCTTTAAGGGAACAGAAATGGCCCTCTATATGCCCCGGAGGCAGGAAGCGAGGGGACATTCAGCAGCAGAGTCCATCCATGGAATGTGGTGGGGGACACAGAGTCAGCATTGCTCAACACCCACTACACTAATAAATAATAGTGCCATGGCCAAGCCCAAATGTAGCTCTCGATCCTCCCCATGCTGGATATTCAAGGAAAGGCTGGCCTGGCTCCTGTGCCACTCTGCTCCTGCTCCCCTAGGCAGGGATAAGGCACATTGAGCACTACACTGCTGTTTCTTGATCTTCCCGTTGGATCATCTGATAGTGCTGTCGGTTTTCGAGGTAGGCAGCCAGGTCAGGATCATTTGCCTTCTCAGCTCGGTGCTTGGGTGTATCTCCCTGCAGGAAGAGAAAGAAGAAGGGGGGGAAAAAGATATCAAAGCAGAAACTTTCTGGACCACACTGAGCTTTTTTAGGTACTTCTCCGTAGTAGTTACTGCTGCATCAAGCGCAGATATAAACTGCTGCCCCATGCCATGTCGAAGGTATCCCACCATGCTGGGCTGGAAACTCTGCATTGTCACGGCTATTCAGTGACTTTTGGGGCCTTCCAGGCACAGGTGCCAAATGTTCCTATATACTACAGCAAAGTCAAAGCCATACACTATAGCAAAGTAAAAACCAATCTGCATGTGTGGGACTCCACTCAGGTCCCCTTTCTCTTGGGAAGGCACCAGAAGAGACTTTGAGAAATGCACAGGGGTGAGGGACAAAATATGGGGAAGAAGAAACTGCTGAGTGCAGAAATCGCACACTATTTCCACTTGGAAGCTGCTTTCTAAGACTCCACTGCTTTCTTCAGTCCTCAACCCAGCAACAGGAAGTTTGAAAATGCACAGGCAACCAAGAATGTTAGACAAGTTTTGAAATGATCAGTGAAGACACCCTCATGCATATGCTGCACTTTGAATCCCTAACCTAAAACTCAAGCAATTGTATGCATAACTTTTTATAAAGAACAGGAGAAAAAAGTCCTGTAGGAGATGATTTCTCATCACGGTGCTAGAGAGGGCCTCGGAATATATGTAGGTGGAATGTATGTGCAAAAGTAGCTATGAGCAGACAGAGGCTCCCTAGAAATGTCTGTGATTGCATTGCCTCAACACTGGGGGGGGGGGGGAGAGGAACAAGGCTAAAAAGCACCAGAGGAGTGTGTCTTGGTAGGGGATGCTTGGGGGTTCGTTGGGAGATAAGTTTTCAGAGATCTGTCGTCCTCCCCCACCTACAGCACAACTTATCTACTGGGAAAATAAAAGCCTATGTTGTTAGGTCCGCAATTCCGACTGTGTAAACAGAAAAAGGCAAAAGGTTTGCAGCACAGTTGTACAATGAAAGACTTGCTACAGCCAGCTTACTTTCTTGCTCTGTGGAAACCAGGATAATATAAGCAAAAGGAGTGGGGGTGGGCTGGGGTGAGGTGTGTGCCTGGGGAGTGCCCTGAAATACCATCCCTCCACCTCCCACCCCCACAGCCTCGCTAGCGCTCCTGATCCCCAAGGAGGCTCACATTTCACGAACTTATTGCAGCCATCTGGACTGCGTCCACTAATGAACTCCTGCACTCCATAAAAAGCAAATCTGTTAACAGCTTTCAGCCATGTCTCTCCCCCTTCTCCTTCCCCCACTCCACCAACTTTTCCCTCCCCCTCATTAACTACCCCCACACTCCACAGTGCTGAACAAACTCACTGCTGAGAAAGGCCAAGGAAACCTGGCTGTCTGCCGCCTCCATTGAAAGCGGGAGAGGACAAGCCTCCCACACTGGCTCTCCCGTCCTAGCAGGGAGAAGGCAGTCATGCTGAGGCAGGAAGGGATCCCAAGTCCCCGGGACAATTGGCAGCTATATTTCACGGGAGTGCACAATGGTCAGGCCACACAGAGGCTCTGTCAGACACATGCAGCTGCAGAAACAAGCACAAGTTCCACTGTCTCCTCTCCCAAAAGGATGGAGAGACAAAGGCAGAAGGCAAAGGGCATGTACAAACCCAACTACAAGGCTGAGCCACAGGTTCACATACAAGAGGCACAAACAAGGGCCTCTGCACATGGACTCATCTTCAGCATGGAAGCTTTTGCTAAACAAAAATTGCTTCCCTTCACTAAACAGGCAAAATTTCAACCTCAAATGAGAACTAAGAGGTGCACGCATGTGCACACACACACACACACACACACACACACAGAGGTAACTGTTAATCTGATGCTCTCCAGTCCCATTACTATGGAATCTGGTTCTTTCAAGGCAGCAGTGACTATGCATGGTTCACTTCATATGAGCAAAATCCATCCAGTGAGTGCTCACAAATCCCAAAGCTCTGATTTCCCTCTGTCAGTGGCTGTGACGTGGACGTGTGACTAAAGGCAGAGAAAGGGCCACTTTTACTTCACATTCTGTACTATTTAGAAATGCCAATAGGCTTAGTGGGGCTGTCCAGTCTCATAATCCCACATTCCTCTCTCCACTGAGCCCTTGCTGTCCTATTACCAGCCAAATTATCATCACCACCACCACCATCATAATCGTTGTTGTTGTTGTTGTTATTATTATTATTATTATTATTAATTGTATTTATGAATTGCCCAACTCCTGCTTCTGCAGGGCTCTGGGTGATGTACCACCACAGATAAAACAAGATCAAATCAGTTAAAACATTAGTAGAACATTAAAGACAATCAGATGGCGAATAACCAGTCCCCATTCCAACTCCCACTGGCGGCTACTTCATGGACAGGGGGGAAGAGGGCAAATTAGACGTAAACAACAGAGAACTGTTGGTGGACCTCCTGATGGCACCTGGTATTTTTGGCCACGGTGTGACAGTGTGTTGGACTGGATGGGCCTTTGGCCTGATCCAACATTGGCGTCTCTTATGTTCTTAATGGGAAGGGTGCCAACCAAGATGGAACCATCGCTGTCCTCAACCGAAAAGCCTGGCGGAATACCTCTGCCTTGCAGGCTCTGTGGAATTGCATCAGATCCCACAGGGCCCTGATGGAATTTGGCAGAGAGTTCCACCAGGCTGGGACCAGGACCGAAAAGGCCCTGGCCCTGGTTGAGGACAGCCAGATGTCTTTAGGGCTGGGGATCACCAGCAGTTTGCTGTCTAACTACCATGTTTCCCCGAAAATAAGACACTGTCTTATATTTATTTTTTCTCAAGAAGACACGCTAGGGCTTATATCACAAATGCATAGAAATCCTGCTAGGGCTTATTTTTTGGGTAGGTCTTATTTTCGGGGAAACAGGGTAGTGCAAGGCTCTCCTGGGGACATAACAGAGGAGACAGTCCCGTAGATACGTCGGTCCCTGACTGCTCAAAACCTTATAGGTCAATACCAAAACCTTGAACTTGACTCGGTATTCCACTGGGAGCCAGTGTAGCTGGTGCAGCATTGGATGTATATGTGCCATGATCCCGTCAGGACTTGTGCCGCCGCATTCTGGACCAGTTGGAGCTTCTGGACCAGTCTCAATGGTAGGCCAGCGTAGAGCGAGTTACAGTAGTCTAATCTGGAGGTGACCATTGCATGGATTAATGTGACTAGATCAGGGCGTGACAAGAAAGGGGCCAGTTCCCGACCTTGGCATAGATGGGAAAACGCTAGCTTTTTAAAGCTCCTTTTAGTTGAATCACTGCCTGAGCCACTGGCTTAAAAGTTAGGGGAGCAAGGAGCTGCCAAGATTTGACTATAAAACATCTTGGTGCAGCTGGCAGAGGGTTTTATTGCTTGTCTGAAATGTGCCACTGCTTTTACAGCACCCTTAGCATTGTCAGTGGTCAGGTGAACTCACAGGCCCCAGGAGCCTTTGGGAAGCATGACACGATGCATCTCATTGGCTGAGCATATAGCTCAATTCCAGGGCACAACTAGCCGGCATCAAGACAGGACTATCCATATCTTATTTGTCATTGTGTACATGTTTGTGGACAACAAACTGTTACTTACAAGAAGCTCCCAAGAGCTAGCATCAAAAGATGACCCCAGTTTCTTTGCTCTCTTTCTCTTCTGGCACTGGCTGTATCTCGGCTGATGCATTCAAAGATGATGTGATTCTCTGACTCTAGATTTTGGGGGGACAGTTTTCTTCCTGTCATTTTTTGGTGGCTGTGTGTACACACATGCACACTTAAATACTGAATATTTACATGCTCCGCTACAATCCCCATTCTACCTACCTAAAGCCATCCACAGCAGAAAGCATAAGCCTACCCCACTGTTGCGATTTTAACAGAGTTGCCTATTGTACATCCCCTCTTTCTTACCCCAGTACTGGATCATCTTCCTATCTAGCAGGCTTGATAGTCTGCAGCTGGGAGAGGGAAAAGTCTGCAGCAAGACTGTCCTTGCAGTGACCTCAGGGAGTTGGAAGAGGGGAAATGAGACATTCTGGCCCCTCATTTAGAAAAAGACAACAACAGCAGAAGAGGCTAATTTAACTCTTCTGGTGAGTTAAATGCTGTAATCCATACCCAGAAGATACAGCTGCTGCTTCTCCATACATACTGTGGGCATACATACTGTGGGCCTTTTCTTCTCCCATCCTGAGGCTAGGGTTAGCACCTACAGCTCTTTCAGATCACTTCCTTCCAAAGGGTCCTTCATACAAACAGAGGATCAAGCAGTGAACCTTTCTCCTTCGGATGGCCTTCCTCTTGCCTTTTTCTTACACATGAATGTGCCTATGGAATATTTACATGCTCCCCCTAAAAAGAAAAAGTCTCCCCATACATAGAAAACTAGCAGAGAGGGAACCAATCTCAACCCTTTCCCCTGACATTCTATTTTTCCACTTCCAAGGATAATTTTTCTCAGGGCAGGAAAAGCTGTGCAGTTTGAAGTTGTACAATTAGGAAACACTTTACTTGCCAAGAGTATGAACTGGACCTAAAATGGCACTTCAGCCATTTCACAATGCTTTTGTCTCTCAGTACAAGCATGTACCTGCAGGTCTGTTTTCATCAGTGAAGCCCCAGCCTCCACAATGTAATGGCAGATGGTGCGTTGGCGAAGGGCTGCAGCCTGGTGCAAACTGGTCTCACCACTGGAAGAAACAAATTAAGAACATCATGCACTCGTTGTGCCAATAAAGGTCGATTGATTGATATTCATGCACTCCTGTCTTGCCCTCTTCAAAGGGTAAGTAGTAGATATGTGTGTGAGTTGTAGCAGAAGGGCTGGGCCAGGATCATGCCAGCCCACACCACATGTTTATCATACATGAATGTACCTATTGGGCTTAGTGAGACCAAAAGATGGATAGTGAGAATGGGCCCAGGGCTTAGCCCCACCTCTTGGCCATATGACAAAGAGTCAAAGGACTGAAGGTGGCTCTCTTGCACATGCCAGCTCCAGCCTCTGCTAAATTACCTAATCCAGCTGGGGAGCACAGGAGAAAAAGGAAGCAGCAAGCTGAGAGTTGAGACAAGGGAGATGGATAAGAGTACCTAAGCCTAACTTGTCTCTGCTATTGCCCTCCCACAGGTATCTAGCATGCTGTGATGGACTGTGAGCTGGCCATCTTTTGGGGAAGTGCCTCTGATGGCAAGGCAACAGAAAGGTTCACCTTCCATGCAAACATATCTACTCAGGAGTAAGATGCCTCTCCTCCCTCCTCATCTGGTGCAAATACAGCTGCATCATTAAAGTGGTTGGCTGGCCTGCCAGTAGAGGGAGCTGGAGTGTAGACAGGAGGGGTTGGGGTGATGAACAGGACTCAGGCCTGCCTTTTGGGTGGGAGGGAAGAGGTTAGTAATTAATACGGTGAACTAGAAAGGAACTTACTTCTCTTCTTCCGCCACATCCAGAATCTCTGAAGGAGCTGGGGACAGAAAGACAAAACAAAGCCGTAAGCAAGGCCAGCCTGTATGCTACAGTCACTGCCATGTCAGGTCCATTCCACCAGAATGGAAAGCACAGTTTCTTCCCAGTCATTCCCACAAATGTTCAGAGAGGTGCAGAGGCTGCATATTTTTCAGAGTTATCTGAGAAATGTTTCAGAAACATCAATCCCATTGCGGCTTCCTTGTGGGTAACAAACATTTTAGCCTTCTTTGTCTTTAAATTATACCGCACCCAAGATGCAATTTTGCAGTATTTACTGGATTTGCCAAAATGTCCTTACTAGGTGCCAACTGATCAGTTTTAGTGGTAGGAGAGGACAACAGAAAACCCTTGTGTGGGGAGAAGGGAAAGCCAGTGAACAGCTACCCGTGAAGTAAGAGAAAGGCTTCAGGTGAGCACTAGAATGAAAACCAGGTAGGCAAACGGAAATGGCACTGATGCACATAGGAGAATGTTTGTGTGTGTGTGTGTGCCCGCGCGTGGGGGGAGCATCTGCATGCAGTTGCTCTCCTTTCTGCCTGGAGCAAGGGGTAGTGGAGGCTCTTCTCCAATCTGTAAATCCCTTGGGAAAATCCACCTTACCCCCACCCTCACTGAGTAGGCCTTCTTTTTGTACCCAGATTCTTGTTGGGGGTCAAATCTGAGAAGGAACATCTGTCTTGGTGCAGACATGCAGCCCAGCATTCCCATTCGCCAAGTATCAATGGGGGAGGCCATTATCTCATTTAGCAAAGAGAAAACTGAGACTGAAAGGCCATGGATTTGAATGCACGAAACTACCTTATACTGAATCAAACCAGTGGTCCACCAAGATCAGTATAGTCTATTCAGACTGGCAGCGGCTCTCCAGGGTCTCGGGCACAGTCCTGTCACATCACATATTACCTGACCCTTTTAACTGAAGATGCGGAGGGACTGAAACTGGGACCTTCTTGCATGCCAAACAGATGCTCTGCCACTGAGACACAACCCCTCCCCTGACCTGGCTTTGCTTCAAAACTAAATGGTGTATTCAGATTCCCAGAAGTGAGCCAACTCCACTGCTTTATTAGACTGCTCCAGTGCTTTATTCACATGCTAATAATCGTCCTACTAACTCAAAACTACTGCAACTATATAATTTCTGGTGTGACTTACCATGTTCAATTATGTATTTGACAATCTCCTTGTTTCCTGATTTGACTGCATGATGCAGGACAGTTTGGCCTGTGTGATCTTGCACCATCAAGCTACTTCCAGCCCGGTGTAGGTCTCTGAACTACAGAAAGACAGGACAGTGCAAGGTAAGGCAATAATACAGACTTCCTTGTGGAAAACCTTAAACCAAAGCAGTTTATGGAAAGATAAAGACAAACAAGCAATATCAAGAACAATCCATTTCTAAATCATTATGAACCACTCAATTAGAACGTTGTTATCAGGCAGAAGCAGTAAAAAAACAGATTTACCAGATAAGAATGTTTTCTGTTTAAAAATGCAGTAATGTTGGACAAAACTAGATCTCCCTAGGAAGGGAGCTGGACAAAGCCAGGGCTACAGCAGAGAGAGTTCTGTCCCTCATTCCTGCAGAAGAAGATGCTTCCCCAGTATAGTGATATGGAGCCTCCCTCGCAGACCTCAAGAATCACGGAGGTTCACGCAGGTGCAGAACTATGCTTACAGACAATTGCAGAAGAACCAAAGATTTAATTTTTTTATGTAACTAGGAAGTCTCACCATAAGATAAGAAATCACTACAATTCTTCCTTCGTTAAATGTCCCCTGTTACAGAAAAAAGCACATGCCACCTCTAAAAACCCACTTTTAAAGAAATGTCATGGTTATCTCCCTGTATTTCACCAAACAAAGCAACAGTTATTATGAAGGCTTAACTACTATATCTAGCATGGTTAAACTTCAGAAGAATTATTGAGCTTTATCACCTCATGGTGAAGTACCTCCAACTAGTGTTCCCTCTAAGATGCGGAGTCTTGTGAGCAAAAATTCTACTTTGTGAGCTCCTGGCATTAAAGTGGTGAGTGAGCGATTTGGCTGCTGCATCAATTAGTTTGCTCTGGAGCCATCCTTCCTGAGCAAAGGCAAAAATGTGTGAGCCGGAGGCTAAAAAACTGTGAGCTACCTCACACTAACTCAGCTTAGAGGGAACACTGCCTCCAACCACAAAACACTATGAAACTCATGGTGTGTTCTATTAGAACAGGCACAGGAAAGAAACATCAACGTATGCCCCACCTAGCTGAGGTCATTACAGCTATAAATCTACATCGTGGGATTGCCATGTTCCGAACTTCAACAGGATGCACATTTCTCTCTAAGCAGATGCAATGTGGTGCACATAACAGCCCTGCACCAACATCACTCCTAACTGCAGTGCAGATGGATGTGGGATGGGTGCATGGCACAATGCAGATTTTGCAGATGAGATTCACTGTCGATGCATTCAAAAGGGCATTGACCTGCAGAAACAACCCTTGATGAATTCTCCAGTCAGGCTGTCTAGACTGGATATGCAACACAATTCTATGGAAGCAGCTAAAATGCCTTTGTACCATCCTGACTGCAATAGATGACTTCTTTTGGTAAGCCTGACAGGAAATCCACCTGGCATAGGAAGGGCAACAATTCACAGGAATCCAGTACTCTGTGCGTGGGGGGCCATTATTGGGGTTAACTGGTGTGGCTAGTCCAGTTACCACTAGTTAGCAGAATGCTTAAATAAATCTACATACGCAAGAGCGTCACTTTACCAGGTCACCCAGCTTACAAAGCTACACAGAGTCACGTTGCAAGTTTAGAAGAGAAATACTTCTCTCTTTATTTCAGAAGTACACTTTGGATAGGAAAGAGCAGACATAGGATAGAGTACTAACTTACTAGCTAAAGGATGGAAGCAGATGGTAAGAGGGCCATCTGCCTCATGGTGCCAAGAGAGGACCACATGTCTCTCTCTTGGTGCATGCAGGGAGAGAGTTCATCTTCAACGCTGAGAGAGAACGGAAGGAAAGGGAAAAAGCCCCTGAGAACACAATCTACATTTCAAAGGGGACAGTGGCAGAACAGTAAACACAGGAAGAAAGGTCAGTGTGCCCATCTAGCTACATAGTCTCTCTTGCCACGAAGTCTGGAGGTCTGAGATAGGGGACGTTGCACCTGGAAATTCCAACAGCCTTTTGGTGATGGAGCCTACAGGTAAAGTTGACATCTGGCTGGCATTGCTAAGGGGTTGCAAATGTAAAGCTGACAACACATCGTATTCAACACTAGAGGGAGGCAGGAAGGCAGCAATGCTGTGACAAAGGGCACCACCCCTTCCCCAGCTCTGCACTTGGGGTTTAGCACATGGTAGCTGTTACCTTGAGGAAATCGTTATTCTTGGCAGCATCTATCAAAGCATCATCTGCAAGGAGGAGACATAGGTCAGGATTACAAAACCAAGCAGGAGAAAGGGTAGAGGGAAGGCACATGTGTGCATGAGTGTAAGGATTCTGGCCAGACCACCGCACTGGGCACAGACATGGATTGGTTTAATAACCCACGGGTGATGTCCTTTAGGGATCTAGAGAGAGAGAGATCCATCCTCTGCTGCATCAGACTGCTAACATGTCCAGGCGATAAACAGGCAGTTGAGTGTTCTTGCAAAACTGACCACAAATATCTCAGCTGCCTGGGCCTGTTGCAGTGAGTTTTTACTGGGGCTGTCTGGAGTCTGGAAGAAGGGAGAGAAAGAATGGAGAATGTGTGCAACACCATGTTTTGATATTTATCATGAAAGAAGCATGATGTGTGCTAATCCAGCTCCTATTGAGTATGCTGGTAGCTCCATTTCAACATTCTTTCCTATTGCCATTCGCTTCCCATTTGTAAAGCGTGCATGAGTGTCTATGTGAGCTGTGCACACACATGTGGTTTTTACTATGAACCATTCCTGAATTAGCTACAGATATGAGGTCTTCTCCTGTTTCCTCTGACTCCATTCCCCAGTCTGTGGGAACAAGGAGCATGGAAGGGACCAAAAGCTGCCCATCCAAGAAGACTGGGTAGGGAATGATGGAATTAACCATGGGGGGGGGAAGGGGGGCAAGAACACATGGTAAGTCAAAGCGGGAGAGGACTTTTCAAGCAGAGCTGAGGTGAGTTTGGCAAAGATTACTCCAAGCCCACATGGAAATGAATGGCCAGCATGAAGAGGTTATATAGTGGAAGGGTGAGCAGAAGAGATGGAAAGCAGGAGTCCCCAGAGAGATGGTGGTTAGGGATGCCTCTGTCAGTGACTCACTCACACTTCCAGGAATCAAACTCTGTTCAAGTGCCAGGAAACACTTTCCATTTGCTCAACTAACAGAGGCTCCTGCTCACACCTCCCGGAGCCCTCACTGCTGCCTGGCAGAGACCAGCCATGCCCCACCCCCACCCCCACCCGCCATGCATCTCAAATCTCTGCAGGTGGGAGATTAAGCCTGCACCATAATGGTATTTCCTGCCAGACTTTGTAAATGAACTGAGGAAAAGTAGCTTGCAAAGCCAATGGATGTCAGGTTTCACCCAGCTTGTCAAGTCTTGCAGCTGCATTTCCCCCTCCCCCAAGGAATGTCTTGATCAGAGCCCCTACAGCACTCAGTTTTGCAAGGATGAAGACACTTAAGGTCTAATTCTCTGCACAACCCCAACTCGGCCCATGGCCTATCCCCTGTAGCCTCTGCAACTGCAACATGTCCAATTGCAACCTGTTCAATGCCAAAGGTAAGTCTTCAATCCAACTGTGCTGAACCTTTCTTGTTTCCAGATCTGGGCTTGTTCCTTCTGAGGATTCACAGTCATGAGCAATGGTAATGCAAGCTCAATTGTAGCAGGCCCACTTTACACTAGTGTGCATATGAGGATGTACTTTATTGCAGATGCTGCACTGATATTTTCTACCCCCAAGATTAGATCAGTAAAGTTTGATGTCAACTGTAGCATTGTCAGATGGCAGCCCAGAGTATATTCTGGGATGGAAAATGCATACCCAGTTATGATGGATGTTCCAGAAATCTCAACTGCCACGGAGGACTGTGCTTATCTGGACTATTCCAACAGTAACTGAAGTTACAGTATTTAATTTAATTTTACTTTTATTTATCATCCACCATTCTCATTAGGACTCAAGACACATCAGCCTCTCATTAGGCATCGTACAGACATCCCAAATAATTTGGGGAACAGCTTGTGTGGGTTGTGTTTACTGGAGTCCCCAGATGTTATCATGCAAGGCCGTGTATAAATACTCTGCTGGAATGGGGTAAATGTTTCACAGGGACTCTAAGAAGAGGGAACTCAAAGAGCACGAAGATGAAACAGAACAGTGACAAGGAGCTACTTGAAAAGAGAGATTAGAGAAAATATGATGGAAACTCATCTTGTGAGCAAAAAACTCTCACCTTTAAGGGGGTGGCAGCTCCCCATTTCTGAGCTGGAAATAAGAGATAAGAGATTCAAAAATAAGAGGTCAGACCTTTTCAGAAGCAGCTCTCTTCAGCTGTCTGAATTTCCCCCCAGGAACTCATCTCTACGGTCCAAACTACACATTACATTTGACATGTGATCACCATGGGAACTTGCACTCATATGGGAATCCAATTCAGTACTGTAGGGTGGGTGGGACGGGATAAAATTCTAGGAGCCCATATGTATTGGGTTCGCTAAATTCTCAGTTTTCATTTTTTAAAAGTAAGTCTCTAGCCTTTCTCTTTATATCTCTGCAACAGAAGAGAATAGAGACTTATTTTTAAAAAATAAAATTGAGTCCAGAGAACCTGGTACACATATTTCTCATAACATAATGATATTCTAGTGCCATTAAAAAACAACAACTAAAGCCTCTTGCGGTAAGGAAGGAACTGGCCAGTGTGGGGAGAATCTCAGGGTAAATGCCTACCGTGTGGATGGAGAAAATCTGAAATTCCCCACCCACACAGCAGCCATCTAGGCTTTACTGTGATTTTCCACAAAGCTTCAGAACAAAGCAGGCTGAGAAAGTTCAGAGAAAAGCCGAGAAGTGCATAAATGCACCATGATGCTGTGGGGAAGTAGGAAAAAACCTTGCTTCCCAACAGGACTGAAGCAGAGGTAGATAACCTGTGTAGCAGTCATCAGAGGCTGGATACTTTACTACAGTGAGGCAGAGGCAAACACTTGCCTATCTGGAAATGCTGCTAAGCCCACCAACCAAGTCAGCATTGGAGCAAGGCAATACCCCACATCCTTATTTTTGGTTTCAATACTTCTCATCCTTACCGTGGCTGGGAAGTTAAAACATAATAATAGAATAGCAAACTTCTGTTAATATTATGAACCATCATGTTAATTTTTCTCATTGATCTATCAAAAATAGAGGGGGTGATTTTTCCCTTTCCACTCTTTACATGTACTGATCTGTATAAATGCGGAATAGTTAATGCCCTTCTGGATTAAACACCACAAACAAATAACACTGTAGCTAAGTATGTGACTATAGTTGTTGTAGATTTTCTGGGCTGTATGGCTGTGGTCTTGGCATTGTAGGACCTGACGTTTCGCCAGCAGCTGTGACTGGCATCCTCAGACGTATAACACAGAAAGATGGAGTACTCTCTGTGTCAAGGTGAGAAGAAAAATGGTAGGCAGGTAATTTATATCGATTCAGAAAGGTGGGGTAGGGCTGAGTCATTATCTTGTAGGAGTTCCCCAGGCTGTGACATGCTAATGGAGGAGCTTTCCTGAGGAAGTTCTCTTGCATATGCTGTTAAAATTCTAATCTGTAGTGCTATTGTGAGATCTAGAGCATTTTGTGTTTTTCAGGACAGGAAACCATGCCCTATTTATTTTTAAACTCTCTTCTTTCCTGTTGAAATTGTGTTTATGTTTATGAATTTCAATGGCTTCCCTGTGTAATCTGACATGGTAATTGGATGTGTTGCCCAGCCTTTCAGTGTCTTGGAATAAGATACTGTGTTCTGTTTGAGTTAGGCTATGTTCAGCCACTGCTGATTTTTCAGGTTGGCCCAGTCTGCAGTGTCTTTCATGTTCTTTTATTCTTGTTTGAATGCTATGCTGTGTGGTCCCAGTGTAAACCTGTCCACAACTGCATAGTATGCGGTATACTCCTGACGTGAGGGGGTCTCTTCTGTCTTTTGCTGATCGTAGCATCTGTTGTATTTTTCTGGTGGGTCTGAATACTATTTGTAGGTTGCAAATACACTTTTCCTGTGGGAGACTGTTTTTTCTCAGTTGTTTGTTTTACCTTTGGTTTAATTGCTCTTCTGATTTCATTCTTGGAGTAGCTTGAAGTGAGTGGTTTAGATGATTTAGTTCATTGTTGAGAAAGTGCAGTTCACATATCCATCTTGTGCGGTCTACTAATAACTTGTGTTTTTGGTTTTTAATAGCTCATTTTATATTTAGTTAAAGCATATATGAAATTCAAGATTGCAAGTTAAAACTACTCCCCCCGATAATTAAAAGTGTTTTAATTACATTTTAAACACCATTCAAGTAATCTGCTTTTGTTATTATTGTATTGTTGGGGCACCTGATACTTGGCCTTTTGTAAACAGAACTTTGCTATTGCAGGCACTAAGCTCCATTTTATATGATAAACAACTTCATCTTTTTAAAAGAGATGCCAGTAAAATTAATCCCAGTGATCATTCAGCATGACTATATAAGCAGCATCCTATTTTGCCCCTGGTTTTGTGCTCGATAATGGTACACGGGTAAACTAACATATCTTACTGATATACTTACTAAAGATTATTGTGACATGAAGTTTTCATGAACTAGAGTTTCAGGAATTTTTAATAGCTACACATGGAGGGTATTTTTGGCAGGATAAGTTTGGCTGGAAAGAGTTGAGGAAAGCTGCCTCTGCTCTCTTTTTTTACACAAGTATGAAGGCTTTTATAGATAGATAAATTATTTAAAATATAGAGGCTTATAAACGAACAAACGATGTGAATAAAATGAGAAGTGAGATTTTTTTTTGTGCCTCACTGTTATAGATCATCCATAGTGAATGTGATTGTCAGTAGGTTCAGGACAACCAAAAGGAAGTATTATATTAAATGCTCCATAATTAATTTATTAAATAAACTACTATAAGAGGTGAAATTAACCATTTCCAAAAACTTTAAAAGGTGATTAGACAGATTCATGGAGGTGGACAGGTCCATCATTGGCCATGAACCTCCATATTCAGATGCAGTAGATGTCTGAATGCCAGTTGTTGGGAGCAACTATGAGAGAGTGGTTGTTGCCTTTATTCCCTGCTGGCAGGATTCCCAGAAGCACATGGCTGGCCAGTGTGGCAAACAGGACACTGAACTGGACAGACCTTTGGTTTGATTCAGCAAAGCCTTTTATTCCTATGAAAGCTACAGTGCATGTCCTTAACTCAGTTTCACAGAGACATTTAAAAATGTCCTCTGCATTTTTAAGTAAGCTACTGAATTATTAAAGTGGGGGGGGGGATAAGCAGGCCCAGCTCCAGTGCTAAAGTGTCAGGTCCAGTGACAAAGTGTCTGGAACAAAGGAATAAACAGGTGAGTTTAATAGATGAGCTAGGAGAGGGTAACTGGCATTTATCTATCGATTGATTCACACATAAATATATACCTAAATTTTACTATGAAGTATCATAGGCTAAGTGAAAAAGGGTTAAAATAGTAAGGAGGCAAATAGTTTAAAAATATCTGTAGGTACCAATATTTTAAACTTCTCAGTATTGTAGCTGTTCAAACTACTCAGGTATAGCTAATTTTAGTTCTAAACAGCTCAGAGGCTCTTGGCTAGTTTTACTGCAGTACAGGAAGGGTTAAACAGAGGGTCAAACAAAGGACAAGGATTAAAACTGAGGGCACAGGACTAGTTTAAACTCTAATGCCCCTTTTGAACTTTATTACACCTATAGATCAAAGTACTAATACCAGAGGCTAGGGATAGTGAGTTCACAGATAAGGCTAAACCTTAGACAGGTTTTTGTAACAGAAAAAGGAAAACAAAACAAACTGCAGCTAAAGTTTAAATACAGTTACGCATTGAAAAACGGGGTCAAATTTTAAACTAAATTAAAAAAAATTAAGCTAATTCTCACATTCTTTAAAGAGGGGGTTTTTCCCTACTATTCCCTACAAGAAAACAAGCAGATACCTCCTGTAACGGCTGAGGCTACTCAGTTAGAGTCCCTTTTAATCCAAGCCTAGAAGAGCTAAATTAACATTTGAAATTAAATTAGCATTTGAAGTAAAAGACAGCCTGAGAAGGAAAGGAGCTCTTGTCTAAACAGCTCCCTTTCAGCAATACCTATTGTTAGGCAACCAAAGGCTGACTCACTCATCCTCCTTTATTGAGTAGCTCCCAATCAGTGCGACTGGCTTTCAGTGGGGTGTGGCGGTTTGATCTAAGCTACTTATTTACGGCTCCTATGAGCAGGACCCAGCTCCAGTGACAAAGTGTCTGGAACAAGGGAATAAACAGGCGAGTTTAGCAGATGTGCCACTTCAGCAGCAGGGTGAGGGCGCCAGGGACCTAGTCCCTCCACGTCCCTAAAAGGGTAAGTGCACTTTCCACAAACAGATCTACATAAATAGGAAATTTATAAAATGGGGGGGGGAGCAATTATGAAGGTAGAATGCCAGCAGGTGGTGCTATCCAGTGTACTGCACTGATTGCAACATGTATGACTATCTGCTAGCTGAACAGAAGTTATAGGTGCATGCTCACAGCAAGGAGCTCCTGGTTCTCAGGAATGTGTTTGTACCATTGAAGCCAAGGTGGCTGACCTGAAGAAGCAGAGACAGTCAGTTAGGCACACAGATAAGACTCTCGGTAACTTGTTAGATCTGTCTCACTCTGGAATGGCAACCCTGCCACTGTCAGGTAGCATGAGAGTCAAGGGAAACAGGGCACTATGAAAAAGAAAGGGGGAATGTTCCCTCAGAAGGAACCCCTTCTACAGTTGGTGAACAGGTATCCTTTTGCAACAAGGAACCATCTTTGGGCAGGGAGGGAGGGAGGGAGGGGCTCTTGGTAGCTGGTGATTCAATCCTTAGGCATGTAGACAGATGGGTTGTGAACCCGCATACTGATTGCACAGTGACTTGTCTGCTTGGTGTGAAGGTAGTGGACATTACACACGGTCTAGATAGGCTGGTAGACAGTGCTGGGGAGGAGCCAGTGGTTGTGGTACATGCTGGCACCAATGATGTAGGGCAATGTAGTCGTGTGGTACTAGAGGAAAAATGTAGGCTGCTAGGCAGGAGACTCAAGGGCAGGACCTCCAAGGTAGCCTTCTCAGAAGTGTTGCCTTTTCCACCCACAGGGCAAACTAGACAGGCACAAATTTGGAAACTGCCACAGGAGGTGGTGGCGGCTATAAGCATGGACAGCTTCAAGAGGGAATTAGATAAACATATGGAGCATAATCCATCAGTGGCTATTAGCCACAAGGTATAGACAGGAACTCGTGGTCTGGGGCAAGTGATGCTCTGTATTCTTGGTGCTTGGGGGGGGGGCAACAGTGGGAGAGCTTCTAGTGTCCTGGCCCCACTGATGGACCTCCTGATGGCATCTGGTATTTTTGGCCACTGTGTGACAGAGTGTTGGACTGGATGGGCCATTGGCCTGATCTAACATTGGCTTCTCTTATGTTCTTATTGTTCAATGAGTGGATAAGATGATGGTGTAGGGAGAAAGAGTTTAAGTTTCTTAGGAACTGGGATGCTGTTTGGAACAAGCAAGACATGTACAAAAGAGACTGCCTCCACTTGTCCCAAGAAGGAACCAGGCTGCTGGCACTTAAAATAAAAAGGTGGCACAGCAGTTTGTAAACTAAATCCTGGGGGAAAGCTGACAGGAGATGAAATGTCTCTGGTTTGGGATGGCTCATCTCTAAGAAATGAAGGGGTAGCTGTAACTCTTCTAGATGGAAATGGATTAGGATTGGCCACCAAAAGGATGACAAACAATACTGACTGCCTGACAGGGTCTAGAGGCCACAGGAAGAAGGTTGCAGGCCTAACATGTCTGGGGAATTATAGATGTTTATATGCAAACGCTAGAAGTGTCCAAGATAAAATGAGGGAGCTAGAATGCTTAGTGTCAGAAGAGAACATAGACATTTTGGGATGAAGATAATCAGTGGGATACAGTGATTACTGGATATAAATTATATTGGAAGGATAGGGACGGAAGGGTCGGAGGTGGAGTGGCTCTGTATGTCAGAGAGGGTATACAGTCCAGTAAAATTGAGAATGTAAGAGAAATAGATTCGTTTACAGAAATTCAATGGGTGGCAATAGTGGACCCAACAGGAAACTTAATTCTGGGAGTTCATTACCGCCCACCAGATCAAAAGTTTGAGGATAATTTAAAAACAGCAAAAGAATTAAGGAAAGCAGCTAGATGAAATAACTGTCATAATAGGTAATTTTAACTACCCACACATTGATTAGGTCAGTGCCTGAGCCATGGAGCAGATGGTCACAGAACCTACCAGGGGAGAGGTGATCCTGGACTTGGTCCTAAGTAATGCCCAAAACCTGGTGAGAGATGTAAACATGATAGCCCTAGCTGGGAACAGTTACCACAATGCTATTAAGTTTAGTATTTATGTAAATCGTGAGTTGCCCAAAAAGACCAACACAGCCAAATTTAACTTTAGAATGGGTAACTTATCTCAAATGAGGGGGCTTGTGAAGAAGAAATTGAAAGTAAAGGTAAGGAGGGTTAGATTTCTTTGGGAAGCTTGGAGACTATTTAAAACTACAATACTGGAAGCTCAGATAAAATGCATACTGCAGGCTAGGAAAGGTATGAATAGGTATTTAAAAGGGCCTGCATGGTTAACAAACACAGTAATGGAAGCAGTAAAAGGTAAGAAGGATTCCTTTAAGTGGTGGAAGGCTAGTTCAAATGAGGTAAATAAAAGGGAGAACAGGCTTTGGCAAATTAAATGTAAATCGGTGATCAGACAGGCAAAAAGAAACTATGAGGAACATATTCCAAAAACCATAAAAAACAAATAAAGAATGATTAAATGTAAATCGGTGATCAGACAGGCAAAAAGGAACTATGAGGAACATATTGCAGAAACCATAAAGAACAACAATAAAAATTCCTTGAATACATTAGAAGCAGAAAACCAGCCAGGGAGGTAGCAGGGCCCTTGGATGACAAAGGCGTGAAAGGATTACTAAAGGATAATGGGGAAATGGCAGAGAAGTTGAATGCATTTTTTGCCTCTGTCTTCACTGTGCAAGATGGGAGATGCTTGCCCTCTCTAAAACTCCCAATTTCAGCAGGGGTGCTGAAAGACCTAAGATGGATTGAGGTGATGAGAGAGGAGGTCCCATAACTGATGGACAAATTAAAAATTGACAAATCACCAGGCCCACGTGGCATACATCCAAGAGTTCTGAAAGAACTCAAATGTGAACTTGTAGATCCTTCTGACAAAGACATGCCATCTTTCACTAAAATCTGCCTCTATTCCCAAGGACTGGAAGGTAGCTAATAGAACCCCACCATCTTTAAAAAAGGTTCCAGAGGAGATCCAGAAAATTATAGGCCAATCAGTAACACTGATATCGTGTAAGTTGGTGGAACTGGAATCTGTTATTAAAGATAGAAAGTAGGCACATTGATGAACAAAAGTTATTGAGGAAGAGTCAGCATGGATTTTGTAAGGGAAGATCTTGTCTCACTAATCTTTTAGAGTTCTTTGAGGGGGTGAAGAAACATGTGGACAAGGGTGACCCAGTAGATGTCATTTACCTAGACTTCCAGTAACCTTTTGATAAAGTTCCTCATCAAAGACTTCTAAGTAAATTCAGCAGTCATGGGATAAAAGAACAAGTCCTCTTGTGGATTAAAAACTGGTTAATTAACAGAAAACAGAGAATGACTTTTCACAGTGGAAGGTGGTAAGCAGTGAGCTACTGCAGGGCTTGGTACCAGGTTCAGTACTGAAAAGAAACTCCTGGACTAAGCCCTAGTAAAATCTTGGCACAAACTGAGTCAGTAGCTGTGAACCCTGACCACAGTATGGGCCGATCCTAAAAGGGTAGCCATGTTAGACTGTTGTGGCTAAACCAAAAAGGAATCTTGTGCCACTGTAAAAAATAACACCACAGCCTCCTTTCTCCAGTGAGGATATGACTGACTTTTCATATTTCCCCCAATCCTTCCCCATTAAGCATCTTTACATTGTCAAGAGTTTTTGTTTGGGCTGAGCAGAAAATGTTTAAACTATTTTTTTCAGTTAAGTACTTTTTCGAAAGAGACTGATGTGCCACTTCATTCACTGGGGCTTATTCCCAGGTAATGTATATCTCATCTGTATTTAATTTATAGTGCAATTCAGTATTTTGGCTAGGTCCCTTGGCTGAGAAGTTTTTCGGATCCTACTTGCTCATTTTTTTTGCACCATATCCTACTGCATCTGCACAGTGTAAGCCATACATTAAATAAAATCTATTATGTAATAATACAATCCCCCTCTTTTTTATAACCATTATTCTATAATTCATGGGATCAGGAAGCCAAGTGCCTTTTTTGTTTGATATTTGATTTGAATCAGAGGGATATGGGGAGGCCCAGGTGAAATCCTTGTCTGGGGCCCCATGGTGGATCTCGGCAGCTTTGTCTGCCGGGACCCAATTTGTGCTGACACTGTGGCACGGGGGAGGAGGGGCTCCAGCCTTCCCTCCCTGTGTCCTCCTCCACCGTTTTCTCAAATCTAAACATTACTTGCCCCACTAGAGGGCTGCAAATTTACTGAATGCTGTATATGCAGCCTCCTCACCTCCAGCCATTTGGGGTTGGGAAAACTGTGCAGGAGGACAAAGGCTGGAGGCCCTTCTCCACCCAGGTCATGGTCCCAATCCAAATCAGGCCTCCAGGGCACTTCTGAATTGAGTCCCTACAGGGGACTCACAGCTGACATCCTGCTGCCAATCCCTGTTGGGGTCATGTGTTAAATGTAGCATGTAGTATAAATGTAGCATGTAGTATGGGCCTATCTGCCTAGCCTGAAAGGGCCAGGAAGGAAATTACCTGGTGTTCTTTCACTTATTTTATCACACCATACCAGCTGTGTCTTGCTTTCATGTCTCCCTTTCACATATCAGCATGCCACTACTGAACTACAATCCTGGCTTCATACAATGTCAGAGTGACCAGTTCAGTTCAATTCAGTGACCAGCTGTATACCAGATCAGATGTAGATAGCCTAACAAATCAACACCCCCAGACGAGGTAGTCAGTGCTTGCCCATTTAAATTTATCCCCCACTCTGCACCTGTTCTTAAGCTAGCCTTCTGCTCTTCCTTGGGTCCTTCCACAAGCTAATCTGGCCTTTGTCACCTCCAGTTCCCAAGCAGACAACCTCACCTGGAAACTAGTGTGGATGGTGATGAAGTTGGGACAGCAAGGTGTTGCCTTGTGGGTGTTGAGGGCACATCAACAAGGTCGGGCATGGCAGGAGACGTGCCCACGGTCTGGGTAAGCACAAGCTCTGGGTCCAACACAAAGAGCTCATCCTGAGAGATCTCCGTCACATAGTTCAGATGTTCCTGAAAAGTATATGTCAGTCACTTCAGAGATAGGATTAACATACCATGTCCAACTTTGCCATTCATCTTCTAGTCAGGAACGTGCTCTGACACTAGTTTCTTTGACTAATTTCCTTTTCAAAACTGATAGTGGGAAAAGGATACAAAGCACTGACATCTGACTAGAAATGATCTTTCTGGAACCATAGTGAAAGTTTTATACATTCAGACATGACGTGCCAACAATTCATCCCAGTTAACTCATGTTTCTCATAGACGGCCAGAGTGAGTTTACCAAGACTCTCTGCAGAAAAGGAGGGGGCAGGAGGGAAGTGTGTATGACAGCACAGAAACAGATTTGGCTCACGTACACCTTTAGCTGAATGTTTCCTTGTTGTGACACCTAAATACAGTCATGAGTTCACATCTGAAGCTGCTGAGTGTACAGAAGTGGTATAACCACTGACCCACATTGTTCAGTAATAGATGTGGTTTACTAGAGTACACACTCTGTACTACCATAGAATATGCAGTATGGATGCTAACATGAAATCCATCCACTTGACCAAAATCTAGAGAATGAAGACGTTTTCCATTTTAAGAAAGAAACTGATGGTGATGGGGAAGGACATGGAATTATATTACTTCCTTAAGAGAAGCAAAACAGAGTGTGTTCCAGGGTGCGGATTTCGGAAGGGAGAGGGGTCGCCACTTTGTATACCTGTCAATCCCAGTTTCTCTGCTTATATGAGATTATTTGTCCCCCTCTTGTGCTTCTGCTCAGCAAAAGAAGAGCCAAACCAAAACTTTCCTAGCCCCAAAATAAAACCAGCAGATGATTATGTATTTTTGCTAAGTATAAGGGTACAAATTGTCTATGTTATGAAAGCATAATCATGCATTTACTTATTGTATTTATACTGCAGAATCTGGAGTTTTTAACTGCATTTAAAACAGAACTCCAGCTCTTTTGCCTACATCTGTGACTTGTGAAATACTCTAAAGGGTTGAGAAAGAAACAGGTTAGATTTAGTGATAATTTCCACTGAAGGAAAGGGTTTGCCTCATCAGAATGGGACTAATTTTTTGCTCCCCCCCCCCTCACTACAGCTAGAAATGCTACCCAAAAGTTGTTTGAGGGAGCTGGGACTCTCAAAAACACTCTAAAGGGTGAACTTCAGTTTTGTGGTGGGAAGGAGGAAATTTGGTGAAAATCACCCTCCCCCTCTTCTGATATTGGAAATGTACTGCTTGTTCCAATGCAATATGTGTAAAGAAATGGGGGAAAAAATCACTGGAGACACAAACCACAATGTTTACTGCAGTCCCAATAAATGAAGAAGCCTTTACAAACCTTCCCTACATTTCCCAGACATTCTTCTCTACACATTTAGTGACATTGTACCCTAAACGTGGCTTTCACATGAGTGGATCAAGAATGAAAAGGAAAAGATCATCAAGAAAAGGTCTAGGACTTTCTGACTGCAGGAAACCTATGAAAAAGGGAATATAATGGAGCACTTTATTAATGTTAATTGGTTGTTTCTATTCTGATCTTAATGTTTTATATTTGGCACTTGGTGCCCTTGTTGCGAAGTGCCCTGAGCCCGCATGCGGGAAGGGCAGGATAAAAATGTAATAAATGAAAATGAAATAAAATGAAATGACCTCAACACCAAATTGCTTTGTTCCATCAATAAAATCACAAAGCTTGGAACATTCTAGAGTAATGGAAACCAAGGTACAGGCTCCACACACATGCATTTCTGCAGAGGCACATGCAGCAACTCTCGCCTTTCCCTGAAAGCAAACTGGAGCTCACCTGTGCACGGTCTATTCTGTAAAAACGATCTGCTGTAGTTGCTGTAAAACAGAAAGAGATTAGAACATAACACTTAGTATTTACATAATGTTTTAGACCATTCAGAATGCTCCACATACATTTTCTCTGTAATACTCATAGCAACCCTGCAAGGTAGATCAGTAAGATCATCCTCAAGTGACAGATGCACGGCAGAGACAGAGAAAATCAAGGCGTGCTTAGAATCCCCTAGGCTGCCTTCAGACATCACAATAAGCTGTAACTAAACCATGACTGGGCACAAACACAGTTTTTCCAACTGTATTCACACATAAGTCTTGATGCTCCTTCTCTGCAGCATGGAACTTGACTGAACACTTCTTGGCTTACTCAAACTGCAATCCACTGTGATGCCTTTGTGAATTGGCATTGTTTACCCCACACAAGCTGGGACACTAATCAAGGTTTAAAATCCTAACTAATAGACTTAGAATCCTAGTTTGCGTGGAGTAAACAGACTCTAGTTCATGGGGTTCCTGCTTTTGGACATCTGAATGAACTGGAACTTGACCAAGCTGGGAAGTGTTCAATCAAGCTCTGCACGCTAAAGGAGAACGAGGGAGGAGCCGGGGCATGCAGACACACAGGAACAAACTAGGTTTAAACTCTGATGGGGCATAATTGTAGTTTGCAATGACTGAGGGAAAATCTATAGAGAATTCTTGCTTCAGTGCTTAGCCCATTAGCCCCATTCAGTTATTCAGATTACTAGAACCAACAAAAGAAAAGGGAAAAGCAAGGCTAATTCATGACAATGGCTCCATCACAACCAGGGAACTATAATTATTGTGCAGAAGAACCATTCTGCACCCTAAAGGACTGAATTAAGGGAGGGCAGACATGACAGGACAGCAGCAGCCAATTTCAAAGCATGCTACAAATTATATCCAAAATTACCCACATAATCTAGGATTTTAAAAAAGCCTTTGGTTTAAGAGAAAAATGTACAGATTCACTCTTACCCAAAGCATACACGTTGTAAAATATAGGGGGCCCCCTCATTTTTCTGTTACCATGGAAGCAGTAAGCATGCTGTGAAGTGTGAAGTTAGTACCCACATTTTCCCTTGGTCTTTCATGCCCTCATCTGCCCCCTCTGAAGTCTGGGACTGAAAAACCCAGTCACTGTAACAACACGGCTGTTCTCCTGCCTCTGAAATGCAACCCCATCTCCTCCCTTGTGGTTTTGCCTGTAGGTCTACCAATCAGGGAAGCAAACAGCAGTGTAGTACTGGAGAGGCAGGCAGGCGAGCAGGCCTGACTACACCACAGCTGAATCCACAGGCCCTCTTGCTCTTGTCAAGAAGTGCCACAGACTCCTGTTGAATTTGCCATTTGTGCTCCCTAAGTTGCAGATGGGCATGCCCCGGAGGTCTGCAACACTCACACAACTGCTGCATTCCGCAAAGTATTTGCTGTAAGAATTTAGCTGAGGAGAAAAGAACTGCTTTTTGGAAAATGGACCAACTTGAGTATTGAGAAATGCTCTACTCCTTCAGTGCAATTGCTTTCCTGAAGGAACATGTTTGGATCCTGTGCAAGAAATGCATTTAGTATGCTTTAGACAGGAAAGGGTCCTCCATTTCAGCAGCAACAAACCTGGATGTAAGTATCAAGGATCAGCTAAACGGTGACAGAGTAAGTGCAGTAGGTAGAAGAGACAGGAACTGAAGCTTTAAAACATTTTTTTAGGGAGGGGGGTAAAAATTACCATGCCACCAGAAATGCAAAAGTAGTCTTTTGAATGTAGAGTAGCTGAGGAAAGCTTCTCAAATCTGCTTTGCAGATGTTCAGGGACTTCCTGTGCTTACAGGGTCTGACATGCTTACAGAACTGCACCTATAGGACCTCTTGCCCTTCCCAATACCATGATCCAAAAACTAAAGCCCACTATGGAGATCTGTGCATTTTTAAAATGTTAAAATATAAACTATTTCCTATCAATTGATTGTGAAGGCAGACAATTTTGTTCCTTAGGCTTTTTCATCTTGTACAAGTAGAGTCCGCAATTATTTCCAAAAGGAATGGAACACCTTAGGCTACTCCACTCAACCTCTAACGGTCAGTTTAAATAGGTGGCAGATGAACAATAACCTGAACAGGATCAACCACAGGCTTATGTATACGCCTGTGACTGCATGAAGATTAACTTCATGGATGGGAGTGGTTCCTCCAATTTCACTAGCTTCAAAAAAGCACCACTGATATATTGGGAACTGCTCCAGCATTAAGGAGCAGAATATAGGATTATTTCTGATTCACACAGGCTTGTTTCCACATAAATATATGCATGTATGAATGCAGTGATAATTGGATTCCAGGGCTTGTGATTTTCCCTCCCTGTCATGTACATCTAATAACCTGACTTCTGGGTTTAGAGCAAGCCACAGTTTGCCAGTATATCTGAACTAGCAAACTATGGTCTGCACTTGCCCTGCAAATCAAGATTCCAAACCACAATTTATTCCCAGTTTGGAATCCTGAATGATAGCCGGTTCTGCTATGAAAACTAAAGTCTCCAACTGCCTGGTCATGTGTGCGGGTGAGGCGGGGGAAGGAGGGTGAGAAGTCAGGAGAAAGCTCAAAAGCCTGAGGCGATGCCAGGTACAATTTGCCCTTGTGTTTGAAGCAAGCCAGTGAGATCCTAAGAACAAAAATGACCTGTTGTCTTGGACCTCCCCTCTGACAATGGAGCTGTATTTTCCTACCATACTAAAAGGTATTTCTAGGTCATACTCGAGATTTCTGATACAAACTGTTTTATGATTGGGGGGGGGCATAAAGTAAGCATGCATTCAGGTCCAATAATCCTCTTATTTTCAATGTATTAACCGTGTTTGTGAAGTCCAGAGAGGGCAAATGGGAAGTGCAACAGAGGACTGCACCTATGTTAAGTGTTGCATTAATGGAAGTGCATCTATTGTGATCACTCATAAGGCTGAAGAGGCTGAGGTTACTAAGGCTGGATCCTACAAAGACTTGGGAATTCTCCCTGGGAATAGAGAAGTAATGGGGGCAGGGGGGAGGGGGTGTCCATGACACAAGCCAGAGCAGATTAGAAGAGTGAAAGAGCCTCGTTTATCCTGTCCCGGGGAGAGATTTACAGCCACAGAGCAGTTGATGAAGGCCAGTAATTCAACCATTTTAATGAGCCTGCGTTGCCCTTGAATGCCACTCAAGCCTTTTTTCATCAACACATTTTCCTCAATTTGGAACACGCTGCTGGGAAACTGGCAAGGAGGAGAAAATAATCTGCTGCAGTAAAATCTGGGAACAAGACCCTCATATGTGGATATGC